TCGCTTGTGTACATGCGTGACTTCTGCCCTCAGGTGCTGTCCGCGTGCACTCACCTCCCCCAGACACCGTGAGCATCACCGCAGACTCTTGGCTCCTCCCTCCCGTTCTTGACTCCTGGCACCCCATGAATGTCTCCACTCACAGTTTGCTGCTAGTTTTGTCTTTGATTCCCAATCCCTTGCATGGTTTTCCTCTCAGTGAAACCATCCAATAATTTTCTTTTTTCTTTCTGACTTCACTGGGCATAATCCCAGCTCTGTGTCACTGCAAATGGCCTAAGTTTGTCTTTTCTGATGGCTGAGTAGGACCCCGCTGTGTGGATACCCCACATCTTCTTGATCCAGACATCTGGCTTGGGCATTCAGGCTGTTTCCATTCTTTAGTTGCTGTGAATAGCTGCGCCTTTATATTTGACCCTCTCCCCACCCCACCAGGCAACTGTGGCTCCTTTCTGCCTGTAACTGAATTTCCTCACTCCATTACCGTTTATCATAGTGAGGGGGTTTCTCTACATCTGCCAGTGAATTCTACTTTGAAATACTTCCCCTGTTTTAATAGGCCCACCCCAATCTCCTTATGGTTTCTAGCTGCACAGCGTATGTATTTCCCATCAGTTTACCTAAAGTGTGTCTTTATACTGAAAGTTCACCTCCTGTAAGCAGTATATTGTTCACTCTTAAAGAATCGTTAAGTTTAAGGTTAATCCTATTTTTAGAGATTTATTTTATGTATTTATGCAAACAAGAACTGGGGTGCAGAGTGAGGGGCAGAGCAGGTGGATAATCTGAAATACACTGCTGAGGGGAGCAGCGGGCAAGACAGGAGAGGTCTGCTGTGCCATGTGGGCCAGCTCCCGGGTGGTGGATTGAATTCTTGCAGCAGTGGCTGCCTATAGCGTCATAGGGCTGAGATTTAACCCCTTAAACTAGCAGGGGGGCCTGAACTTTATCCCTTTAACACCTGTGTGAGTCAGATAAGTGAGACTCTATCAGTTCCATCTCACAGGAGAGTGGAAACATCCCCGTGGTTAGTGTGAGACAGACCTGGGACACAGACCCTGGGGTCCCCACTGTTGTGTTCCCAGGACTTCTCGATAGATCATTGAAAGCCATCTGATGTCACAAAGCTTTATGTGAGAGGGCCACCCACAGCATGTCTTCCTGATAACTCTTGAGCCAACTATGCTATTTAACCTCCTCATAACCCGGCATATTTAAGGCGCGATCACCCTCTAGCTCAGGCTCACAGCGTGTCTGTGGTCCTGTAGTCCCTGCAGCGAGCCTGATATGAGGAAGCAGGGGACACAGCGGTCACCCTTCTCCAGTCTAGCCTGGGTCTGGCCACCCCACCCACTGCCTGGATGGCAAATTGAGGCAGCAGCGTGACAGGGGCTGGTTGTGGGGGTGGGGGGCCGCGCTGAGGACAGACACAGGCAGGATCAGGACACTTTTCTCAGGTCATTGTCCCCAGGAGCCCAGTACCAGCAGGACAAAGGGCAATACTCTGGGGTCTAGAATGTGGGAGAGTGTCCAGTTAAACTGCCTCCTGTGACCCAAAAGAGCACATAGTGCTAATCTGTCCATGACAACTGAGACAGTGGCTCACTCTTTCCTGACTGGGTTTGGAGGACAGATCGACCAGCAGTGTCCCCAGGGCATCTGTCCTGACATCCCGGCCCCGCCCGCACCCCCCCATAACAACAGTGTTTGTGTCACGTCACTGCCCAAGACACGCACATGTCGGTGTCCTTGTGATATTGACCTTCATTAACAACATTTTGATGAAGAGATTTGAAGAACTTGCAGAGATTAACAGACAGCTACTGGTGCTTAGATTGATATTGGCATCAGGGTTAAAACTTATAGTCAAATATTATAAATTATATTCAACCCTGGATAAGAATATACTCATTCTAGATAATTGGCTTCCTGTGGCTTAAAAATTTGATTCTACCTGTTTCCTATAGTTTCCATGAGGGAAGAGCAGGAGGAGGTGAGTGTCCAGTTCCTCTCTGGCCCCTCAGCTCTGTCCTCCGTCAGCATCAGGGGACAAGCAGGGACAGGGAGTCAGGGGCCCGCTGTGTCCATGTTCTGCCATCACTGGCCTGAGGTCTTTTTATGGATCACCCTCCCGGGGACAGTGAAGGTGACTGTGAAGGTCTTTACAGCTCAAGGTCTCCCATTTCCTGTAGCCCTGACTATCTGGGGGTTCCCCTGTCTTATTTCCTGTCTCTTCTCAGGGCTGAGCAGGAGGGAGGTGTCAGGGGTCAGCACCGGCCCTGCAGGGGACAGTCACCCCCTTCAGCCCAGGCCACAGCTTCAGGAAATGCCCACTGGCCAGGTCTGCCCAGAGGGAGATTCAGCCTACTGAGAAAGGACTCCTATCTATAATTTATAAATGATCACTTACAACTCAACAACAAGAAAATAACACAATTTATATTTTTAAAAGATTTATTTATTTATGCATACAAGAACTGGGGTACAGGCCAAAGGTGTGGCAGGTGAGAGGATTCCCCAGAGATAGAGCAGGGAGCAGAACAGGCAGATCGACGAAGTACATTGCTGAGGGGAGTGGCGGGCAGGTCAGGAGAGGTCTGCCATGCCATGTGGGTGCTCCCTGGCTGGGGATCAAACTCACGCAGTATATTGAAGTGCTGCAGTAGCTGCTTACAGCTTCATAGTGCTGTGCTTTAGCCTGTTGCACCACCAAGGAGGGCCCAGTTTAAATGGACAAAGACTTCACCATTGAAAAGATACAGCTGCCAAATAATTATATACGAACAATGCTCAATAATACATGTTATTAGGAAAGACACTATCAACAAGAGTAACACAGGGTCCTCCCTGGTGGCACAGTGGGTTAGGGTGTGGCACTGTGGGCTATCTGTGGCCATTGTGGCACAGTTCAATTCCCAGCCAGGGAGTTGACCCGCAAGATACAGGAGACCTCTCCTGACCTACCCACTGTTCCCCTCAGCAGTGTACTTCGTCAATCAGCCTGTTCTGTCTCTGGTAAATCCTCTCACCTCGCACCTCTAGCCTGTACCCAAGTTCTTGTATGTGTAGATAAAGGAATCTTTGAAAACAAACAAGAGTGATACGCTTACACCCTTACCAGAAGTAAAAACCTTACACCAGGGTCACACCCCTGTGCTGACTGCAGCAACAGGACCTTCACTGCTGGCAGGACGAGATGGCACAGTCACTAGGGAAGACATTTCACAGTTTGTTTAAAGCCAGACACTGACTGGCCACACAGTCCCATGGTCATTGTCCCAGCTGTTTACCCAACTAACCTGAAAACTTATATTCGAGAGAAACAACCCTCGTGGAAGTGTTGACAGCAGAACAGAGTGTGAGCTGACCAGTGGGACCTCCTCAGACGATAGAGGCTACTGATTAAATGAAAATCAGAGATTCTGTGCCCAGGGGGGTGTCGTGGAGAGCAGCTCTTCCCTCGTGGCCTCTTCCCCACACCCGCTGCCTCAAATCCAGCCGCTGCTCCTGAGCTGCCACCACGTCAAGGAAATGTGAGAAGCTGCCAGCCAGAGGCACTGCCAGGAGACCTGATGGGGAATGGTGTGGCATCCTGGGTGGGCGTGGGAGCATAAGGACATTAGGGAAACGAATGAGGCCCGAGTGAAGTGTGGAGTCTAGGGAAACCACACCAGCACCGTGTCCTTAGCTCCCCAGGTAACTCAGTAGCCACGTGAGGTGTAAACAGTCTGGAATGATGTGGGTTACGTACGACTCTGCTACCTTTGCTGCTTTCCTGTAAGTCTAGCAATATCTCTTAAGGTTCTGTTAACAGGGTTACAGGTTGTAGGAGGGAAACAATGATCTATTTTGCAGTATCCTCAGGTTTTGCTAGGAAGGGACCAGAGAGAGGTTTAGGGGAAAAATGGAAACCTCACACACAAGGCAGGGCTCCTGGCTCTCCCCTCCTCTGGGCCCGGGTTCTCTGTCTCCCCACAGAGCATCCCGGCCCCCAGGACGCCGCCCCCCACTCTGCCCACTCAGACCCCCCCAGTCCTAGTGGCTCAGCCAGAACCAGAGCAGCGCGGCAGCGCCCCCGTGTGGCCACAGGGCTGAGCACAGGAGCCCAGAGCTGCCCTTTCTCCTGCTCAGCCAAGCCCCAGGGCGCCCTGGGCTCCCAGCTGCAGGACAGGGGTCTGCTCACAAGGGGGCGCCAAGGCCCAGGGTCAGTGAGTGAGCATGGACTCAACTTCAGGACACAGCCTGGACTCCAAGATCACTGTTGTTTCCCAAGTTGCAGATGGGCCCCCAAATAATACAGGGTGCCCTTGGTCTCTAGGATGGGAACTTCTACTCCAGAGTCCCTGTTACATTTTCCTGTATGTGTTTCCAGGAATAAAGCACCCCTTACTGGGCACCAACTCTGGATTCTCCAGCCCTAAGAAGAGGGGAAACCCAAGAAGAGTTCTAGGAAGATGAGCCAAAGGTGGAAATAAGGACAGTAGTAAAATGGAGAGGGGAGGGAATGGTGGGAGGAAGGAGGGGGGAGAGGTCAGCATGGGGATTGCGGAGGGGGAGGTTCTGGTTGACAGGGGCTCTCGAGAGTCTCTGTGTCACTGGTGGGATGCAGGAAACTGTCCATTTAGGCCCTTCCTGTCCTGGCAAGGCTGCTGTAACTCACAGGCACTCACAGGCTGGGGGAGAGGGCGTGGGGGAGGAGGGGTCATTAGGGGAGGTCCCAATTCCTGAGCAGAACATCCCCAGTTCCCCAGGACTAGGACACGGAGGTTCAGGGAGCCAAGAGGAGGCAGAGCAAGGCCTGTGCTGCCTGGGGGACCAGCCTGGGCTGATTCTGGGCCTCAGCCCTGCTCACAGATCAGGCTGCCGGACAGACTCTGTGCCTGACCCCGCGGACACCACTCTGGGGAGAGTGTCAAAAACAAAAGCAAACAGCAACATTAAATGGAATCTAAAAACAACAGGAATAATTTTATTAAATCTGCTTTATTTTGAAAGACACTTCAGGGGCTAAGAGACTCATCAGAGCCCTGGACACTGTTGCTGCCTGGGGGAGAACAACACAGACCTGGTCAGAGCCAGGAGAGAGGAGACCACAGGAGGGACTGATGGGGTGACTCCCCTAGGGGCTCCATCTACACTGTCCCAGGGGCTCAGGGACCAAATCCCTGATCCACACTCACCTGTAGCCTGAGTGTAGATTCCTCCTTTCCCACCTGTGGGAAGAGATGTCACAGGAGACCAAGTTAGAAGCCTAAAGGAATCTTCAAATCCTGTACCACAGGGAAGTTTCCAGAATTGTGATCCAAGTCAGGACTGGAAAAATGAAGAAAGGAGATGAAGGGGATTAGACCAAATTCCCTCTGGGTGACACACATGTGTGGTTAGTACTGCTCATCAACCAGGGGAGGCAAGTTCCCCCTGGGACTTGAAAGCCCCCAGTGGACAGGATCCCCAACTCCCTTCCCTACCTGAGCGCTTCTTCCTCCACATCACAGCTGCAGCCACTGCAGCCCCAGTGAGCCCAGGTCCAAGGAGAACCAGGCCAGAGGGGATGGAGGATTGAGGAGGGGGCTCTGGAAGGGAAGGGGAGAGCTTGAGCCGCAGGCCTCATCCTCTGAAGGTCCCCAGAAAGTTCTCTGATCCTCCTGAGAAAAGCCCCTAGGCCCATGTCCCCATCCTCACCCCATCTCAGGACTTGGGGATCCAGCAGCCCCTCATGCTGCACATGACACATATATCTCTGTTCCTCTCCGGAAAGCACCACTAGAGCAGCCCATTCCTGGAAGGTTCCATCTCCACCAGGCCTGGTGTCCACATCTTCATGACCTGGGTCAGGTTCTCCCCATCTCTCTGCCAGGTCAGGGTGATCTCCGCAAGGTAGAAGCCCAGGGCCCAGCATTTCAGGGTGACATTCTGGTCAGAGGTGGGATGGTGGGTTATGTGTGTGTTTGGGAGAACTGAGGAGGAACAAATCAGAAATATCACATTTTAAATTTATTTAGTGTCTTCCACAGACACTGAAGCAGCCTCATATGACCATCCTCAGAATGGACAGGACATTGGCGTGGAGGAGGAAGCATGAAACCCAGAGCCCAGCCCTGTCAGGGGAATCTGGGATCATCAGTGAAAGCCCAGGGTGGCGGGTGCAGGTCTCTAAGGAGGACACAGACTCTGCTCCTGACCTGGGTGGGGCTGAGTGACATAGAAAGGCAGAGTCAGGTCCAAAACTGTTCTAGACCAAACACAAGACCTGAAAGAAAAATTGATGATTTTCTTTCTTTCTTTAAGATGGTGGCCAGGTCAAAAAGGAGCCAATGAAGATACTTGAGACAATCTCCCTCCCCCATCAGGAAAGGCTGGATTCCTTAACGTCCAGGAAAGCAGCATTGTCTGGGCCAGTCTCTCTTGCCGCGCCAGCACGACAGCAGAGATGGTCTGAGCGAAGGACGTCAGGATTAAAGCACACACTTCTTGGTGAGCAAACAAAGGCACACCTTATTCTTCTCTCCTTCCCTATTTATCCCCTTCAGCCTGGAGCCTGGGGCTGGGGGTAGGCGGAAGCTCTCAGCAAGTGCATCAA